ATATATGTGTGTGTGTTTGTGTGTATGTATGTATGTATGTATGTATGTATGTATGTATGTATATGTATATACTGATAAAAACATAATTTTATATACATACATACACACACACACACACACACATATATATATATATATATGTATGTATGTATGTACGTGTGTATGTATGTATATATATATAGACATATACATATATATATATATATATATATACATACATACATACATACATACATACATACATATATACATACATACAGACATACATACATACATACACACAAACACACACACACAACCACACACACATATATATATATATATATACCTACATACATACGTACATATGTGCATAATGTATGTATGTATGGAAGTATGTATTTACGTATGTATGTATGTATGTATGTATGTTTGCGTGTATGTATGTATGTATGTATGTATGTATGTATGTATGTATTTATGTATGTATGTATGTGTTTATTTTCTTTTTGTATGTATGTTTGTATATATATATATGTATGTATATACGACGTGAAAGTTTCTGACTCATTCCAATGAAAATTACTACCTTGTGAGGTTGCCACATACAGGAGTAGTATTGTGCAACCTGTCCATTTCTTTAGGCTCAGTCAACATGAAAGTGTATCTACAGTCACTGATCTGTGATTGTTCACAATTGACTACAGACCCAAGAAACGCGGATGTACTGACTATAGCCCGTTACCCTGCACGGATTTCTTCGACAAAAAGACGGTATACAATTTGCCTGATAGAGACGAACTGGAGATGCAAGTCTATAGCAGGGGCTCAAAGGGTCTCTGTGTGTTGCTATTGCACGGCGGAGGCTACTCTGGTCTGACTTGGGCGTGTATGACGGTATGCAGCAGATTGAATTTGTCTTGGGTATAGTTATTAATGTAGGGTATATAATATCTTGATCAATATGTGCGTGCGCGATTGTCGAGTTGAGATCTAGACAGTTCGGGGACTCGGGATGTTAAACCACAAACAGGTAGCTTTTCACATGAATTAATCTAAAATGTACAATCTAAACTTATAGTGTTGTAGTGTTGTAGTGTTGTTCGAAGTGACGACGTGGTGTCGTGGGGATTTCCATATATTTTATTTTTATGGTTTGCGGGCATATTCGGTGTCAATCATCCGTATCCATTCTGCACATAGCACACTTACATTTGTCGCGGCTGCGATGGCCTGTAGTAACTGGAAGCGATGTAATGATTCTCGTTGGGCAGTACATGCTCATCTACCGACGTTTAAGACTTTCTCCAATCTTCGACACAGAAACAACTCAACAGCATGGTGGAAGTGCAAGTGGTGGCGCCTGACATCCGTGGTCATGGTATGTTAATGATTATGTAAGTGACCTAGAATGTTGTCCATGCGTGTTGTTTGCTCGCGAGTGCTATGGCGCACCCTGAGTCAGAATTTCGCCCGACAATAGGGTGGTGCGAACTAAACCATTATAGTGTCAATGCACAGGTATTTCTTGTTAAACATACTCTATAGATTAATTACAGGGTGTTCTATACGCTTATTGATTTGCGACTAGTCGGATCTACACTTAAACTAATTGTTTATTAAGAGCCTTATTAGTGCTATTAGGTATCCGAATAGTGATTTCACCACACACTCACGACATACAAGTAGTTCATACCTATAGGAGGTATAGTTGATATTGGGTGTATCATAACCAGACTCCCTTGCTACGCCTCTTCTGAACAGGCGCATATGACTTTATCTCACAGTGGAAAATACCTACTGTCGCACACCAGTGTGATCAACTGGCTACGTGCCTATGTGACCAATTGGCGTTGTTCAGCGATGAGCACATACCTTGGATTGTCTATACACTCATTTTACATCATTTATCACATGTCATTGTGTTCATATGTAGGAGGAACGCGATGCGCGCAAGAGAGCAAAGTAGATAAGGCCACACAATGCGAAGATATTGCGGCGCTTATCAAGCTGATGTTCGGTACAACACCACCCCCCGTTCTAGTGGTTGGCCACAGCATGGGGTAAGCACACACGCACACCATTAGTGAAGGACACGGAAGTGTAGAGTGTGCAATAACGCATCTATCTCCTGCTCGTGAGAATGATCTATGGTATTAATCGCAGACAACTATGTATATATGTACCACTCGTGCGCATCTTTTCGGACATCCGTCTCCCCGCCATCTGTGTGGCTGCTCCAAATGGCGAATTGGGCTCTCCCGCTCATTGTGTGTAGCGGCCATATACATGAATCGAAGGCTGTGGTTTTTAGATTCTAGCATATGAGTGCACGTCTAGCGCTATGCGTTCGTGTGTTATTATATCGTCTAGCTGCAAGCAAACGAATATTAGGAGCTTCATCACTAAATAACTATTCAGAGCTTAATATATTGTCTCTCGGACACAGGGGAGCAATCGCAATACACTTGGCAAATGGGCCTTATCTGGCTACGTTAGCTGGGCTGGTGGTCATTGATGTGGTTGAGGGAACAGCTATAGAAGCTCTAGGCCATATGTCTACGATACTGGAGAACCGGCCGTCGATTTTCAGGTCTATGGAGTACGCTATCGAATGGAGGTATATACACTGCATCCATACACGCGTATGCATGTGAATGTATTTGGAATTGCATCTGCTAGTGTTTGCGCAAACTCAACTATTGTAACACACACAAAAAAATACTTGTGGTATCTTAGTTTGACTAGGATCTTTTGAATGTATTTTTCATCTTGATGCTGTTTTTGCTTTCGTGCCCTATGTTATGTTCTTAGGCAATGACCTGTGTCCTTGCTCGCTGCAGGCACGGCAATTTCAGCATGTACATGCAATCGTAGTTTCATTCACACATGTGCCTGACGATTGAAATGTACTAGATGACTCGCGCGTTTTAGCTTAGGGATATTTACGCTCTCCATATGGCTTCGTCAGTGGCTTGGTCAAGATTTGTTATCCTGTTTGCTGTACCGCGCACGTAGCGACCATTATCACCACCTGTTAAACCTGAACTCTGATTTGCGTACTGATTTTCCATATGATGGTACCAACAGCATCCGGTCACACCATGTGCGCAATATAGAAGCAGCACGTGTGTCAATGCCAGGGCAACTGGTGACCGTCGCAGAACACAAGCGGATAAGTAGGACACATGTTTGTGCACCATCCGACCAAACAGATTCACAGCCAAGCGGCACAAAGCCGATATCTACAAGCATACGCAAGGGTATCACAGGTATAGTAGAAGAGGAGGAAGAGGAGGACGAGAGTGCCGGCGCTAGCGTGGAAGGCCATGTCAGCACCACACCAGCTGCGGATAGTCAAACTGAGCCTATCCAGGCTCAAAGCGATAAGTTGAAGGATAAATATGATGGTCCAGCACTGAAACTGGGTCTGAAAGCGATGAAGAGTTCTGTGGACAGCAGTGTGTCCGACGGTGCGAATGGCAAAAGTAGTGAACGGTTTGTATGGAGGACAGACCTACTGGCTACAGAACCGTACTGGCGCGGGTGGTTCGAGGGTATCTCGCATCTATTCTTAGGTACATCTGTGGCCAAACTGCTGGTGCTGGGTGGGATCGACCGTATGGACACGGAGATGAGTGTGGCACACATGCAGGGCAAGTACCAGCTGAAAGTGATGTCGTCTGTAGGCCATGTGGTGCATGAGGACACACCCGATCGAGTGGCAGAGTGTCTGGCGGAATTCATAGTGCGCAATCGCTTAGCTACGCCTCTGGACGGCTACAAAGGGCTACGGCCTGTTGTGTGATGGCGAGGCTATATTACCCTAATAAGAATCTGGCTGTACTTGCATTTGTAATGTTATGTTAAACGCTGCCGGCAACTTTGGAATAGTTTTTGTTGAAATGATCCTTGAATTGAGTGTGTTTGCGTGGGTTACTTATCGATATTGATTCTCGAGACATTAGTCTGCCAGCCCAAATAAATAGGCCAGACTTATTTTCCACTCCTAATCATTTTTTATTACACATTTGAAAGTGCTAGTACGAGTATTTAGCAATGTAATCAAATACTGAATATTCTTCGCAAGTTGCAATTGTTGTGTGAATTGGCCGAGATAGTCAATCACCCAAAGGAGATAATTCGGACTCGGACCGCGCTGCCTATGCAAAACAAGAACGATAATGTGTTAACAAGCCTCTGCCGTGTAGACTTTCTCGGCGACAGGCAAATTTATAATTCTAATTATTTCGGGAAAGTAGTTGTCACTATTCGCCAGCTAGGCGGGTATTGTCGTGAATACAAACCTGGCAATCCTTTTTAAGTGAGAAAAGAATGATCAGTGGACGAAGCCTACTGCTGACATGGATTTGCCGAGATAGTTGCTTTGCGTATGCCTATCCAGCAACTCTGGGGCTTCAGTATCGCGCCAGATCAGGGGGTCCAATTTGATGTATAATTATGTGCATATTTTCTTGTGACTGCAGTCTGTCTTATCTATTTCCCTACAGAAACAACAAACAAAAGGTGTTTTAATACTGGCAGTAGTATGAATAATAGCTGGCATCTCTTCGGATCTGTTGGATATATCGTCTCATATGCCATTTACACAAAGCAGGTGAATCTTGCGCGTAGTCTATGTTACTAAGAGCCATCTCGCGTATAGATTACGATCGTTCAGTTGTCTAAAGCAGGTTATGTGTGAGTCTGGATTCTCAATGTCGTGTGCGTAGAATGTTGTTCGTTTGTTCAAGTAACTACGGACTGCGAACGCCCACACAATAGCGACATTGCCTGCTTGCCTTTGTACGTCTTAGAAGCCATTTATCCACATCAAGTGGGTGGCCAGGATGCTCTTTTACCTTGGTGGTTGATTAGTGCGGATTTCCTTGCAAAGGTGATGCTTTTACCCCGTGCTTTACAGTATATACATTGGAGAGATGATCTCAGACTGACCGTGTCTAAAGGCATGTTGTTCACATTGTCGCACCTGCGATAATGATCATTGCTAGTTCGATGTCCTGCATTTAGTAGGTTTATATGTACGGTATCACTATCGTGTTCTCGGCCTTCATATTCACTATCGTGTTTTTTGAATAATCCTTGACCTCACCGCAGTAGTAGATGCCGCCGAAAGTTTATTATCCAATCAAATAACTTTATCATTAAATACAGGACGGACCATGCTCAGCCTCTATAGTCTAATAAATAATTTCACATCACGAAGTATATATAGTAAAATACTTTAGTAGAGTTGTTTACTATAACTAATTTGGCGGCTAAACAGCCGAAACTGACTGCTGAACGCACGAAAGTCGAACCAGCCCAAGTTCAATACATGTCGACTTGGTATAAAGCTGGCTGCGCAGACACAATCGCTTCACTCTTACGTTCACTTCGATAATACACTGAGAACAATCGTGTGTACATAGATCTACACGAAAGTAAGAAGCATTCGAACCTCCCTGTTGGCTTTAGCTTTAATGCGCAACAAAATTTCATGATAAATAGTATCTCGCAAGCACCAACTGTTCAAATCTTTCATCTTCCTTTGCAGACCCAAGATGTTCGCCTCGGTGATCTTCCTCCTCTGCATGGCATACGTGAATGCGGGAGCATCACTTCTAACCAAGGATATGTTCAATGAGATGTTCTCAAAACGCACTACGAGCCCCAACTGCGTCCAGGCGACAGAGATACTGACCTTCGAGGCTTTCCATAAGACTGCCAAGTACTACCCCAAGTTCTGCAACGAAGGCTCTAAAACCGATCAGAAGTGGGTGCAAATACACGTACAAGATTGATGCCATCCCTAACCCTAAATCGATTTACTACTAAGCTTGTCGACCGTGCCGAGCGTGAAAATCTCACTGCTGTGTTCATTGATATTTTTTGAGCCGTTGCTCCTTCACGTGTCTGCGAGATGTACTACCCAGCGACTTCCTGATCCCGAGCGTAAACGAGAGTCTAGTGGTGACAGCTGGTCCTCTGGTGCTGAATTCGTCACAACCCGTTGTTACCTCACGTGTCACCGCACTTTTCTGCCGTCGGGCGTAGAACTTTCTACTGACAAGCAAGAGAGTCATGTGGAAGCGAGTGTCATTATATTGCTCTGCCGATATTCCGTCCCATATTTGTGTGACTGCACGTTCATTGAACGTCCTGAGCGCACCCGGGAATTGCATGACTGCCGGACCAAATATAGTTTCCGTGAGCTACTCTGAGGGAAGTTGACTTTTGTGCATCATTTGTAGTGCACTTCTGGATGCAGAATAGGATTAATACTGCACGAAACGTTTCATTGCTCGCCTATGTTTATCTTCCAGATACACCTTGTTACCCTACGTATTTGTTCTGATTGCCGACTCACAATTATCCTAATCATTGTCAGGAGAGAGCTGGCAGCGTTCCTGGGCCAGATCTCTCAGGTACGCTTGTTAACTTATAAAGTGCGAATTCGAGCTTTCGCGTGCATAGATTTGCTCTGAGACATATATTGTTTGTTCATAATCCAATTTTTCATAGGAAACGACTGGATGGTGGCCTGGGCAGCCGTATGAATGGGGCCTCTGCTTTGTGGAGGAAGTTGCATGTGCAACCCGTGAGGGAGGTTGACACGCCAGTGCCGGGCGTCTCGTACCACGGAAGGGGAGCCATCCAGGTAAAAAACCTTTTGAGTCAGCGTTGCAATTGAAAACAATTTGTGATACTGGCTAAGCAATCACAGCTCCTCCGAAGGCCTCCGTGGACTGACTCCAATAACAAGTATATGATGGTACATGAAGTACACAAGTGGAGTTCGAGTTTGATCACACCGTCCATGTCTCTTGACAGATCACTTGGAACTACAACTACGGTCGGGTGTCGGAATTTTTTTTTGGCGACAAGAACATCCTGCTGAAGAACCCAGAGAAGCTGATCGACGACGGCGTGATCGCATTCAGAGCTTCGCTGGATTTCTGGATGGTATGTATGGCGTTTTCTATCCCCGTTGACGAGCCGTGAAAGATCGTACTCAAGATCATATCTCATTCGCTATGCTAATACGTGCACGCGTATGTACTGGCATCTGTTTTTTATTTCCACGTAGACTCCGGTCGAGATCAAACCCAGTTGCCACGGCATCATCATCAATAAAGCGCCTGAGTGCCCCGCTAAGGGTCGATACAACGGTGAGTTAGTTTTGTATACTTGCTCGGCCTTCACAAAACACGAGAAGAGTCCCGTTTATCAATGTGATAGTCTGTCACTGTTCGCACATCGATATTCTGACTCTGCTTTAACTAATAATCCACAGGGTACGGAGGCACCACCAATGTGATCAACGGTGGTCCGGAATGCAACACGCCCACGTCACAGAAAGTGAAGAATCGTGTTGTAAGTATATGTCGCGTTTTCCTGAAGACTTTACTTCTGTCTAGCAAGCGATTGCAGTCAAGCAGGAGGTTCACGACCTTTCGGTTTACACTGAAACCCACATCAGGAATACTTCAAGCGGTATGCTAAGATCTTGGGTGTATCCCCCGGCGATCACCTCTATTGCGACAAGGCGGTGGCTTACAACGCCGGTCGCTGTTAAATGAACAGAGAGCTTTGTCTGTGGTCTACACTGTGCCATGCACATGGAGAGCAACGCCGATGGTTATTGCCGACCCGTGAATTCGCGCTGAAGATTGCAACATACTAGTGTAGCTAATTCTGCACACCCACGATGTGTCTACTGAAGAGAACCTTAGTCTGTCATTCCGCAAATGTAGAATGGAAGTAGTATGAAGACTGATTCACTCGATACGTGCGAAGTCGAGATCCTCCACATTTGAATTGAATTGATTCATAAATGCAGTTTACTTCCAAAGTCATCGTATCGATGCCAACGCTGGGTTATCCACGGCCGATGAAAATAGAATCAGTGTAGTTGATGAACTTACTCCCGCGGATAAAGTTGGTGTAATCCACTCCTCCATCGCACATATATCTCACTTGATGAGTGCAAACATTTTTTGTAAAGTGTAGACAATTTGAAGTTTCCGCCAATCAGTAGCATTTATCCAGCCTTTGTCTAAGGCAATCTGGGGCGCTTCACATACCCTTTCAAATATTCGAAGTGCGTTTGACTTCTCAGCACTATCAATACTTTATAGGTACGTGTCAATCTCCCATATCAAGACCATAGCCCGGGTCTCTCACTCCTGCATCGCATAGTATGTACTCCACTTGTCCCTCTGGTAGACTGGAAGACTTGATTATGGTTGCGAATCGACTGCCTATTGCATATGAAGACATAAGTATCACGACCTATAAGGTTTTGGTAACGGCAATGACGCAGGAACATTCTGCTGCCGCTCTGCGTCGTTAACGGCCCAATTCGCTTTCACCTGCGAGATGCTATTTATACAAATGCAGCAGAAGAAATAGAAAGCTCGACCTGAAATGAACACCATGATTGTGATATATCAATATATATATATATATATCAATATATATATATATATATATATATATATATATATATATATATATATATATATATATATATATATATATATATATATATATATATATATATATATAGTATAT